ATAAAAGAAAATACTAGGTTGATGTTTGCAGCTGCAGGCATCAGCCCAGTATAAACTTCCAAACTAACGATGTACATATACATTACCCGGTCCGAAAGTAGTTAAAAAAAGATTCTGAGCCCCCGTCACCCTCACACACATACGAACATAAACACGCAATGGTAGCATCTACGTACGCAAACACCGATTTCGCTGCACATGTTACATACAACCATGCATGTCGGAGTGAGAGAAATAATTTTAGACCAATTATTCACAGTTAACTCTAAACTGATGACCTGTAGGGCCTTTGAAAGAGTCGTCTATAGAAAATTTGGGGTACCGAAGTTTGTTGCCTTTTCGCAGCTGCATGCAATTTTAAAGCTTGACATGTTGGGTATCTATTTACTTGCCATCATCTTGTTTATTTTACAAAAAAATTGGATATTATTTGTGTTTCTGCACATTAACCACAGCACCACCTGCCTGGAGTTTGCATGTTTTCCCTGTGCCTGAGTGTGCTTCCTCTGGGTACTCCGGTTTCCTCCCACACTCCAAAAACGTGTTGGTAGGTGAATTGGATCCTGTCTAAATTGGCCCTAGTATGTGTATGTATGAATGTAAGTTAGGGACCTTAGATTGTACGCCCCTTGAGGGTTAGGGAACTGATGTGAATGTACAATAAATATGCAAAGTGCTGTGTAAATTGATAGCACTATATAAGTTACTGTAATAAATACAAAAATAATTAATTAAAATGAACTACAGTGTATTTTTTTCTGAAATTTTGTGCTTGATAAACCATCTGTGAGAAACAAAATTGGAAGTATACCATTTTTTTCTCCAGGGTCTCTGCTTTCATAAAATATATAATGTTTGGGGTTTTAAGCAATCTCCAGGACTAAAACTATTATTTTTTAATGTATGCAAAAAAAAAAAAAAAAAAAAAACGTAAAAATTATTATTATCATAGCACCCATTATAAAGAAATACATTTTATATGGATAGACAGACATAGTGATAAGCACACCTCACAGTCCAATTTTCTATGCTTGCCAGACCTTGAAAGTGCATGGTAATGCTTATCAACACAACTGCAATCTGAAGTGCAAATCAGGAATGTCCCAAAATGCTAGAAAATGTTTCTTTATTGATTTAAAAAAAAGTATCCAAAGAAGTTTGTGCAGAATAAAAAAAAATTATTTTCATTGTGCCCCTTTCTACATAGAAATAGGCTGTATCCACCATAACACCAAATATTAAAGCTGCATTCCAGGTCTCTATTTAAGTCAACGCTTTATTCAGAATTGCATCATTAAATGTATTTATTTAATTCAAGCAGTGTAGGTACCCTCAACTAGGTATCAGCCTCTTACAATCCTCCATGCAGCCGAGCCTAGACTGGGAGAGGAAGAAGCAGTACAAGGAGTCAGTCAATTGTATACCAGGCTCACGTGTTAATAAGAAACATGCTGATAGGAGAAGAGTGCAGAGTGACAGAGACATGACCTTATCAGTCTACTGGTGCTTCTTTCACTGTCCAGTCACATACTGAGAGAGGGATAAGACCTGTACGTGCTACTTAACTTCAGCAGGAGTAAATCAAGTCTTCCACCCTGCCAGACAGGGTTGGGGTCAATAAAACAACAAAGTGTTCTGTATACAGGGCTGCTGTTAGAAACCACAGGGCCCCTTATAGTCAAAATGAAAGCCCCCCCCAAAACCACAGGGCCCCATACAGCCATCCTAACAGTGCTCCCCATCCCCACGAAAATAAACACAGTATACTATGCTTCAGTTATGAATGGACACATTGAGTGACCGGTACCAATCACCCATTGCGTTCATTCAGGAAAGGAAGGGGCTAGTAAATTTCTGGAACTGATCCCCTCTATGTCTCTCTCTGCAGCAGCTGGAAGCCAGTGGAGTGGGGGAGAGGAGAAGAAGCCGGCTTTCAGCTGCTACAGAGAGAGCCATATAGGGGATCGGCTCCAGTAATTGCCCCCCCCCCCCCCCCCCCGTCGTGCCAATCACCCTCCCTGCCATGTCCGATTCACCCAGCTGCGTTGTCCCCCCTGCTGGCATAGGCCCCATACAGAAGGACTGGTAGTACCCCCTTATCCACAGCCCTGTCTGTATATAAAAGATGATCTTTGTGCTTGTGTATGGATTTTCGGTGCATTTACCAGGTCCAGTGAAGGAAATTGGACACATGCAAAGATAATCATACAAACTTTATGATTACAAAACAGAAGGAATTTACACTTCATTGCTTCCATCACAAAACCAAAAAACAAGGGATTTATTCCTCATTCAAGAAGAGCAGCCAGAGCCATGAAAACGCGGCCAGCTGTGCATCCAGAGCCGCCAGCTAATAAGACAGCAACAGTCTAGAATACAAAGCAGTCTACAATCTGAGCACAACTGTTTCCAACTGATAAGCTCTCATCAGTGCAAGATAAGGACACCATAGTTTCTACAAAATAGGGATTAGGGAACAATGGGATGACATGACTTAAAGTTACAGTGAAGTGGACTGGAAAGAGCCAAACCACTCTCCAGTATATTACTGCAGGACAACCCAACATTCGTAACACAGAAGGCTTGTGCATGTCATCAAATCCATCGAAAAATAAGAAAAGGGGGGGCACTTTTCATCTAAGCTGGAGCCATGTATGTCATTTCTTTTTCCCTCTGTTGTAAAGAAAACAACAATCTTGAAATTCTATTGTCCGTTAGCACATTATAAAGTCATACAAAGTACACTTGAAGGATTTACAAAAATCAATGGAATGACCCTACACACCAGACATGCGTCTACATAGTTTGCACTGTCTTCAATATTTGGCAAATATTTGTACACCGGCCCATACTACAGAATGAGCACGTCAGGCTTGTATATGAAATTGGCATTTGACCCCCTCAGAGCAGGAATGTATGCTTCTTGACAAAACAACCTTTGCACTTGCATGGCCAGAGTCAGATTTGACCATTTCTGAGTTATGCTAGAAGGCCCAACACCAACACCCCCCCCCCCCCCCCCCAGGTTATAGCCGGGCCATCATAATGCAAGGTCCAGCTGCCAGGTGGCTGGCTTAAGGCAGGGCTCTAAACCTGTCACATCACTCTGACAGCCAATGTGCAACTGGATTATATTTATTGTTCTAAGTCTTGTTAGTGTCCTTCACCCCTCACCCCACCCCATCACTCACAAAGGTATCCTCTGAAATGACAGTTAAAGTAACACTAAATAATATCCTTTCTCTCCAAATATATTTCATACACATCCACTACTAAAGGGAGGAGTGTGGGTGTCTGAAAAAAAAAAAAGCAAACCTTCATATGTACCTCCGTGCTGCAGCCTCGTTCTGAGGCTGCAGCTGTCCCTCCCCCCCCCCATTGGTTTTAGGCCTGAGAATTGAGTGATCACATGATTGCTGATCACTCAGTTCTCAGCTTTCAGCAGACAGTGATGACTGTCAGTCTCCGGCTCTTTGCTCTGCCACTCACTGGAGCACCAGGTTGCGGCAAATGTTTGTTTTCAGCATAGTCATATGATTTTTTAATGGCTAGTGGGGTCCTATAAGCAATCATTTTTTTAAAGAGCTTTGGAACTAAATTAGTTGTCTTAATGATGGCAAGATCAAATGCTCCAGGGAACGATTTTTCAGAATTTCCATGCAAACTTTTGAATGAAATTCTACTGGTGTACGGCCAGCTTTACATAAATCTGATACGTCTTTCATTCCGACACTTACACCATTAGATCCCAAACCCTCTGGTGAGAATGAAGTCCCATTTTAAACAGATCGATCCAGCCTAAAGCATAAAGTGGTAATGGCATGCCATGTCTTTCCTAATATAATGTACTGCACTCTCCACTCTATCTGCCATCATATTAAAAGTAGTGATGGACTTGATGTTCGAGTCAAACGTAAGTTCGACTTAAATATCGGCTGTTCCTGTGTTCGGTGAACACACAAATGGTAAAGGCGTTCAGTGGGCTCTGAAAGTGCATTGTGATTGGCCAAAGCAACACACCTGATTGTCTTTGAAAAAAAAATGTCAGTCCTGCTGCAGCAGGTTCTATACATTGTACAGATTTGCACCTTTGCAGGTAGTTTAAGGGGACCCCCGAGGCATGATATTTAAAGGAATTTTTTCGTTTCTTTTTTTACTTTAAGCAATAAAAAATTACTGCCCCTTAAAAAAATAGTACTTTTAGAAATTTTTTTGTCACTGATTCATGTCCCTTTAGGGCAGTACATGAGTCCCCATACCCCTTTTATGGCCAATAGCTTATATATAAGCCTTCAAAATGGGCACTCTTGAATTTACAAGTCCCATAGACTTGCATTATGTTCGAAGTTCAAAGTGAAGAAGCCTTTCCGCTTTTGGAGATTAAATTTCTTTTCCTCCAGACGTAAAGAGTGCCCCCTTGTCCTCTGTGATGACCTCAGGGTGAATAGCTCTACACCGAGTTCACTATATGAACCACTGATATATTTATACATGGTGATCATATCCCCCCTTAATCTGCTCTTCTCAAGAGAGAATAAATTCAGTTCCTCTAATCTTTCCTCATAGCTGAGCTCCCCCATGCCTCTTATCAGTTTGGTTGCCCTTCTCTGTACTTTCTCCAGTTCCCCAATGTTCTTTTTCTTAACACAACAGGAACTTCCTGTAATAGAGATCGCTCACTGATGCTCTCTCTTCTTGTGCAGGGTGACCGGTCTTGTCTCCGCCCCCTTCCGTAGTTTTCTGCAGACAGCCTGCAGGGGGTGGAGCTTCTGGGTCCCTCCCACAGCTTTGCTCTCTGCACTGGCTACGTACAGCACGGTGATTATGTCACTGCTACTTTTACATGGCAATATCTGGGGTGCACACAACAAGGCTCTTGAGGAATATATTTAACCACCTCCCACCCGCCATATAGTAAAATGACGGACACAAGGCTCTTCTCTCGTTCTGGGAGGAGGTCATATGACGTCCTCCCATTCTCACCGCGCATGCGCGGCTCTTGGAGCACGAAGCACGGCGATTGGCGGTGTGCTGTGTCCCTCGGACACAGCGGATCACCGATCCACGGAAAGAGCCGAAGATATCGGCTCGGTCATGTGATCAGCTGTGTCCAATCACAGCTGATCACATGTAAACAGGGAAATGCCGGTTATCAGCATTTCTCTCCTCACGAGCTGTCACGCTGACAGCTCGAGAGGAGAGGAGAGCCGGTAATCGGCATTCCTCGGAGGGGACATCTACACTGATCATCAGAGCACTGATGATCAATGTGCCCTGATGATCTGTGTAGCCCCAACAGTGCCACCTGTCAGTGTCCATCAGTGCCAGCTCTCAGTGCTCATCCATGCCATCTGCCAGTGCCCATCAGTGCCACATTTCAGTGCCTACCAGTGCACCTCAATGCCACATATCAGTGCCCATCTGAGTTGCCTTTCAGTGTCACCCATCAGTGCCAGTCAGTGCCACCTATCAGTGCCAGTCAGTGCCACTTATCAGTGCTGCCTATCAGTGCCAGTCAGTGCCGCCTATCAGTGCCACCGATCAGTGCCATATATGAGTGCTGCCTTTCAGTGCCCATCAGTGATGCCTGTCAATGCCCATCAGCGCCACCTACCAGTGTGCCTCCTCATCAGTGCCCATCAGTGTCCATCAGTGCAGCCTATTAGTGCCTATTTTATAACAAAAACTAAGAAAAAACTTTTTTTTTCAAAATTTTCAGTGGTTTTTGGTTTGTTTAAGAAAAAATAAAAAACCCAAAGGTGATTAAATACCACCAAAATAAAGCTCTATCTGTCACAAAAAAAATGATAAAAATTTCATATGGGTACAGTGTTGCATGGCCGTGCAATTGTCATTCAAAGTGTGACAGCGCTGAAAGCTGGAAATTGGCCTGGGCAGGAAGGGGGTATAAGTGCCCTGTAGGCTAGTGGTTAAATGACAGATTCTGTGAGATTAGCTATGAAGGATTAATGCTGAGGCATTCATATTTGCTTGAGTTCATAAAGCATATCTAGGCACTTGAAAGACAACCCTTTTCTTGAGAAAACAAAAAATAATGGGCAGAAAACTCATTCCTGGCCAATCAGCAAGTCCCTAAAAAATTAGCATGTTCCCCCAAAACTGATCAGTCTGGCATGTCTGCAGAGATGAGAGATCCACCCAGGAGAACTGCATAACATCTAATAATGTAGACCTGACATCACACATCATTTTATGTAAATACATATATGCAAAGTAATGTGTAAAGGTGACATCTACAGGACTGTATTACATCTCACAGATATCACAGTGTCCTCCTGACAACACCTTCATTCTGCTCTGCAGAAGGATGGAGTCGTCTTTGTTCAGCCTTCATCCGGGGCCAGCATCTACTTCCTGGACTAATAGATATGTTGGCTCAGTGATAACACGATCATTATTATTATATTAATATACAGGATTTATATAGCACCAATAGTTTGCCAGAGCTTTAGAAAATGAAGGCAGACATTACAGTTACAATACAATTTGGTACAAGAGGAAACAGAGGGCGCTGCTCGTTAGAGCTTACACTCTAGGATCCTGGTATTCATGCAGTTGTTGGTTGTGTCAACACATGTCTGACACAGATCAGCCCCCTCTGCTCACCCACCCTGTAATGTGCTACAGAGTTACAATGTTACAGTCTGATCACTATGGGAAACTAAAAGACTTAGGGCTCATGTACACTGCAGCTGATGAACTCACGTTTAGGAGTTTTTCTGCGTTTTTTTGTAGCAGCCCCTGAACTCTCCCTAATGTTTTCCTATGTGTCCATGTCGTTTACAGTTGTTTACAGGTAATTGAGTTTACAGTCATTTTTTTTAATGCACCAAACTTGCGTTCAGGAGTAGATTTTATCAGCGTTTCAAACGCCAAACGCTTTTAAATGCTTGTAAACGCGGCTAACCGCATTTATGAGCATTTGCATTTTGAAGCGTTTTTTTAACTGTTCCATATCCAGATGCTGTCCAGAGCTTTTTTTCATCAGAAATGCATGCAAAGTGTCTTCCATGTATTCAAATGGACCCGGTACACCAGCGCAGTCAGTTCCAGGTTTTACATTAAGGAAAAAATGGTAGAACGTGCTGCATTATGCTCATGATGGGATCCATAGTGAATACAACCAGAAAAGACAGGTCATCTCAACACATACTGCTCTCTCTGCTTCTGCTCTCTATTTCTCTCAAAATGTCTGAAATAGTTAATTTTTTACTAGTATTCTGGGCATTTTGGAAGGTCTCCTAATGTTATCTTTAAAAAATGTTTCTAATCATAAACACGCATAAACGTGGTATGCAAACATGGCTAAACAGACGTTTTTTGACCTATGTTTTGCAGCAGTCAGTTTCTATCCTTCAGAAGAGTTTTCCAAATGTCTCCATGTACATGAGCCCTTACATAGTTACATGGTTAGTTTGGCTGAAAAAAGAAACACATCCATCTAGTGCAACCATTAAAAAAAAAAAAAAAAAAAAATCCTACACCCACAGTTGATCCAGAGGAAGGCAAAAACCCCCAGCAAAGTATGATTCAATTTGCTCCTGCAAGGGAAAAATTCCCTCCTAATCCCCTGAGAGGCAATCGGATATTCCCCGGATCAACTTTACCTGTAAATGTTAGTAACCCGGTATATTCTGTGTAGCCAAGAAAGAATCCAGGACTTTTTTTTTAAAGCAATCCACTGAGCTGGCCAGACTGAAATGCTTCTTCATTGAAGAGGTCATGTCATCCCAGCAAATTCACAAGACTGGTGAGGAAGGACCTTTTAATTAAAAAGGTAAAGTTTGTTGGAGAATGATACTTTCTGTATATTACGACGTTTATGACACATTTATATTTTTGAGGACAGACCAGATAGTATGGTGTTAGGTCTAGACGTGTCCAATGTGCTGAACTATGGATTTGTATGACCATGGTTATATGACGTTTAGCCTCGGAGAACACACGGACAAGCTGGATCAGGCTGTTCCTGTCTATAGTATATCACAGAATGATGTGCTAATCACTAAGTATATGCTCCATTCGCCTGTATAGACCTGCTGACTTGCCTCATCCATCACCCCCCGGCCAATTTATAACTCGATGCTGCTTCCTATATGTATTGTTCTGCTGTATTACCATACAGATGCCCACATAACCCGGATATCATTCCATCACATGTGTTTACACATTATACTGTTTAGATCAGAGATAGACAACCTTCAAGAGGTGGAGATCTACCTGAACAACATGGGAGAATTCAAAGATCACCGGGCACGGTGTCGCCTCCTTACACCTGATTTAAACCTCTAATTGCCGTATTACCATGTCACAATCACATACACTGCATGTCAATCACGAGTTTAAATCAGGTGGTGAGGAGGCAATATATTGCCTCCTCAACACCTGTCAAACAAACTCAGAACGCTTTTCAGAGGAGCAGTAGAGCCTGCTGAACTCATGAATGAGCCCTTAGTTGCATCCGGCAGTGGCACTCTTAGGGCTCATTCATATGTAAGGTTGGGGTGGTTGTAAAACCCTGCAGTTGAGTCATAGTTTTACCACCCCCAATCCCTGCTGCTGAGGCAGCAGCCAAAGGTGTACACATGCCACAGCAGGAATTACACCATATGTTACTTTTAGTGGGTGCTACCACTTGTCAATCGAGACCCATTCAAGTAAATGGGGCCATTCTGTAAGTGCCCTGCAACTGCATGCTTCTGCAGAGTCCAGGGGGTTAAAGCAGGTGGTGAGAAGTCAACACAATGCTGCCTGTTTAACCCCTTGTTTGCTGTACTGCACAAGGTTGCAGGGCTCTTGCAGAGCAGCTTCATTCACTTGAATGGGTCATGCTTGGCAAGTGCAACACTCACCAACCGCGACACTCACCAACCATGACAGGGTGTAGGAGCCGGCACTACAGAGCAGACATCGGCTTATATGGCTCTTGCTCCCTACTACAGCTCCAACTTTACAAGCCGCCCCTCTGCATTGCACTCTGTTTGATGCTGTGGGATGGGGGCTCAGCAAGCCCTAACTGTGATCTAACAGTCACCTGGCCAAGATCTACTGGTAAATCACAATCTACTGGTTGCTGATCCCTGGTTTAGATATAGTGCTGACATAGCCACAGCATTTCACAGATTGTACAAAAAAAGTGTCAATCACCCAAACTTATACCTGGCATTTGCAGTAAGGTGCACATGGAAGGGCAACGTACATCACAAACAAACAAAAGATTTCCCAGCATACTCACCAGCTAGACTGCAAAACAACTAAATAGACCCTAACAAACAGAAGATGTAGGATTTCTCAGGCTACATAACCTTTCACACCAATCACCCCAGTCTTTGTCCCAGAGAATTTCACAGTTTCTCCCTATTAGAGTCATAAAAGTATATGCACATACTCAAGTAACAAAGTCAGAAGCCAATCAAAGCTTACCTAAGCCAACAAAACTTAAAGCTCAATTGAGCTTTCAGTTTAAATCTGCTAAATACATTCCTGGTACATCAACACAAAGATGTGCGGAACCTTACTTTTTTATTGAAAGCAGCCACAGCCTAAGTAGAAAAGCCTGTCTCCTGTCACTATAAGACAGATTTTTTTTAAGTCCGCAAACGTGCAACTATAAACGTAAAAACCCGTAAGTGTCCGCAAAAAGTGCAAGTGCAGAAACACACACACGAAAAACGTGCACTTAGGGGTGTGTTTGTCCTACCCCCGAAAGGGTTGGACCGTTCACCCGATCCCCCGGGGCACGAAGCTCCTGACAGGGACAAGGTTCCCATTTGGTCCTCCTGGCCAAAAGGCCTGGTGGACCACCGTTCCTTATGCCCAGCCGAAGCCGGACATCCAGTACTAGGCAAGGGGGTTCTCCCGAAGAGAAAAAACCCCCTAGGGATCAGGGGAGGAAGGAACCGTATGGCCACACATCCTCCCCCTAGACTTCAGGTAAGGCCCGAGGACCCCACACCCTCCATCCGTGAAAAAACACACACATAAGAAAGCAAAAAGTGACAAAACGTGGGAGTGGTTTAAATAAATAGAATAAAATAAAAAAGTGGTACCGTGCCTAATAGTGCACAGACCAGCCCTGAGGCCTGTAGCAAAAATTGCCCTGGACTTAGCCTACCTGGTCCTTAGGGCGCTGTGCAAAAAGAGGTGAAAAACAGTGGCCATGTGTCATCTTCACACCGTGGGGTCCCACACCCAAGTGTTACTAGTGACACCCCTGAGAGCGTCTTCCCCAGGGGGCACTGAGTTTGCGGACTTTTTGCGTCCCCGACCCCAGGCCAGACCAAGGTAGCATGCTCAAACCAGGAGGAACTGGGTCTTTCCGGTCTCCCCAGAGGAATTACTCCCAAGGCCCCAGAACGAATCATGGCGCTCCCTGGTTTCTGTCCCTCCGGTACTAGCCTTCCGGACCCCCATCATACCAGTGAGGGTACTGTACAACAACCATCCCCGTAAACTAGAATGGTCGGTAGCACCCCCACTGGACACTGATA